CATCTTCCTGTTGAGCTAGAACACAAAGCATTTTGGGCTGTTAAAAATCTCAACATGGATCTCTCATTGGCGGGTGAAAAGAGAATGTTGCAGTTGAATGAGCTTGAGGAGTTCAGACTCGCAGCTTATGAAAATTCAAAAATCTACAAGGAGCGAACCAAACAACTGCATGACAAGGTAATCTCTAAACGAGATTTCGCACCAGGAGACCAGGTACTTCTTTATAACTCTCACTTTAAATTGTTCCCTGGCAAGCTGAGGACCCGGTGGTCCGGACCATTCGAGGTAGTGGAAGCATTTCCCTCAGGAGCTGTGCAACTTTGTGGCAAAGATAACGCCAAATTCATTGTAAATGGGCAACGTTTGAAGCGTTATCTTGCCAACGATCACCAAGAGGGAATGCTACTCTATTTCCTCGAAATGCCTGAATATAAGTGATTGCATTGGTCAAGCTAATGACCATAAATAAGCACTTCTTGGGAGGCAACCCAAGTTTTAAAATTCTGCATTTTTTTTGTTTTAATAAGGTAATTGAATTTCAATAAGGTGTTTTCCAATTCACGACATGTATAAAAAAAATCAATTTACCAATTTTTTCTGGAATTGTTTACTTAATTCTCCTTCATTTATTTTACACTGAGGACAGTGTAAATTTTAAGTGTGGGGGAGTATGTAGATAAAACTTGATTTTTTTTGTGTGTATTTTTAAATAAAAAAAAAGAAAAAAAAAATTTGTGTGTTTGTGTTGAATGATGAACAGTCTTGATCCAAAAAGTAAAATTGAACTTACAAATTCTCTGTTTATATGTCTTGTTAATATTTATATACATAACCTTGTAAATTACAAAATCATCTCTTTTGACGGAATGTGGTATGAGTTTGAGAATTGTTTCATTATAACATCTTGAGAGTAACTGTGTCTGAGCCTTGAGTTAATTTCTGTTAATAATTTAACATAGAATACCATAGAGTTTTTCCAATTTATTGGTTTACTAGCTAAATTTACTTATAACTTTTATAGACCATGATGTTTCACATTTGTTCTCCATGAAATAATGTTTTAATTTGATACATTTAGACATGATATAGGCCATCTTTGTTTAACCTCTCAAACCAAGCCTACCCAATTCAAAAAAAAAAAAATCCCTAGTTGTCCCCTTTTGAGCCTTTTTCTCTAAATAAGTGTTAACACTTATTTTTTATTTGTCATTTTTTTGTTACCCTGTAAATATTTAACCCTAAACCATTTTGCCAAAATAAATTATCCTTCCACCCTAGAGTAGATTGTCTTATTATTTGAGAAGGAACTTTAAAAAAAAAGTTACTAATTGGAGCAGTGTGTATTTTTGTAAATAATTGAGTATGTCATTTTTTTTCTTTTGTATCAAAGTTGTACATTCTTTGTCTTTGTAAAGATAATAATAACTTAGTGTGCATTCAAAAAAAAAAGAATAAAAAAAAGTAAAAAAAAAAGCCAAAAAAAAAAGTTGAAAAAAAAAGAAAAAAAAAAGAAAAAGCACACTAATTTTGAACTTTTTAGATTTTTAGACTTTATTCTTCTTGGGCATAAAAAGTAATTAAATAAAAAAATGCCCGTACCATTTATCGTATTCTTTGTAAAATAATTGTCATTTTTCATTTTCGAGTCATTTGTTTACCTTGCTCCATAGTTACATTTGTAATAATTTTTGAGTTCCTGATCAAAATAAGTATAATCTATCTCTTTTTGTTTATCCTTTATACCCTTTCTTTGTTTACCCACTTACCCTTAGCCCCGTTACAAGCCGAATAAAAGTCCTAATTGATCTTTTTGTGTTACTTTTAAAATAATTGGATTGGAGAAACTTGGTTTATATTAGTTTAACTAGTTTAGCACTATAGGTGTTTGCGTTAGATTATTAACATGAAAGTTTCTAGGATAGGCAATATTACTCAAGTTACTCTCATTTTATTATTTTATGACAATTCATGGGTTTTGGATAGTTTGGTGGACAAAAGAGATGATTGTGTGATTTTTAAAATTATGTATGTAAATTCTAACAAGACATGTAAAGATTGTATTTGTAGTTTATTTTGCTTGAGGACAAGCAAAAGCCTAAGTGTAGGGGAGTTGATATGCACATATTTTATACACTTTTTAGGCATATTTTGAAGGAGTTTTTAAGTCCTAATTGAATTAATGTTTACATTTTATGTTAATTTTCCGTTTTATGTTGGTAGAGCGGTCCTATGCTTGAGTTTATATGTTTTGCAGATATTTTGAGGCCATTTGGACACATTAAGAACAATTTCAAGAACGGAAAATAAACATGGAAGTTTGGGACCAAAATAAATGGAAGAGATTTGAAGAAAAGAAAGAAATAAATCTAAAAACTGAAAAGATTGGAAGCTGGGATTCGAAAACTGGACCTCACGGTATGTGGAAGAGCAGATTGGACCATCGCGCCACAGCTGACTAGTCGGCATTTAACTGGCGGACACTCTTTATTCTCTGTTTCAAATTCGGCCCATGAATTGAGAGAGAAAAATGACAAAACAGTGAACGGTGGGAAGCTTCGAACACGGGTCACGCGGCAAGACAACCAGTTACGTCTCCATGTGCACTACTGTAGCCGTATTGACCAAAGGTGTAACTGTTTGTATATACTCCGTATATACGAATTTATCTATAAAATCCCATCTTCTCTCTTCTCCTAAGAGGTTGGAACCCCCATTTTCTTCCTTCTCTCTAGTCCGAAATTCTCCTCCTCCATCACTAATATCTCACCACTTTCTTCTTCCAAACACATAAAAATTACTCCATCTTCATCATCATCAACACCATTAATTTTAGTTGGAGCTCAAGAACACATCTTCCATTTTGTAAGATTTTTATTATTGTAATAAATATTTATTTGTTTAAGCTTCAAACTATGAACTTCTAAATTCCATTGGGGTTAGAAGTTGGTGTAATTAATTGTCCATCTTAATGTTTTGAATATTTTAAACATGGATTGTTGATTTTATTTTTACTTAGATGTTGTATTTAAAAATAAATAAATTTGAAATGTTTG